ACCCACAGCTAAACCCACAGCTAAACCCACAGGTAAACCCACAGCTAAACCCAAAGGTAAACCCACAGGTAAACCCACAGCTAAACCCAAAGGTAAACCCACAGCTAAACCCACAGCTAAACCCAAAGGTAAACCCACAGGTAAACCCACAGATAAACCCACAGCTAAACCCACAGCTAAACCCAAAGGTAAACCCACAGGTAAACCCACAGATAAACCCACAGGTAAACCCACAGCTAAACCCAAAGGTAAACCCACAGCTAAACCCACAGGTAAACCCACAGCTAAACCTACAGGTAAACCCACAGGTAAACCCACAGATAAACCCACAGGTAAACCCACAGCTAAACCCACAGATAAACCCACAGCTAAACCCACAGCTAAACCCAAAGGTAAACCCACAGGTAAACCCACAGCTAAACCCAAAGGTAAACCCACAGGTAAACCCACAGGTAAACCCACAGGTAAACCCACAGTTAAACCCACAGCTAAACCCACAGCTAAACCCACAGATAAACCCACAGGTAAACCCACAGCTAAGCCCACAGGTAAACCCAAAGGTAAACCCACAGGTAAACCCACAGCTAAACCCACAGCTAAACCCACAGCTAAACCCACAGGTAAACCCACAGCTAAACCAACAGCTAAACCCAAAGGTAAACCCAAAGGTAAACCCACAGCTAAACCCACAGGTAAACCCACAGGTAAACCCACAGCTAAACCCACAGCTAAACCCACAGGTAAACCCAAAGGTAAACCCACAGGTAAACCCACAGCTAAACCCACAGCTAAACCCACAGCTAAACCCACAGGTAAACCCACAGCTAAACCAACAGCTAAACCCAAAGGTAAACCCACAGCTAAACCCAAAGGTAAACCCACAGGTAAACCCACAGCTAAACCCAAAGGTAAACCCACAGATAAACCCACAGCTAAACCCACAGCTAAACCCAAAGGTAAACCCACAGGTAAACCCACAGCTAAACCCAAAGGTAAACCCACAGGTAAACCCACAGCTAAACCCACAGCTAAACCCAAAGGTAAACCCAAAGGTAAACCCACAGGTAAACCCACAGCTAAACCCACAGCTAAACCCAAAGGTAAACCCACAGGTAAACCCACAGGTAAACCCACAGCTAAACCCAAAGGTAAACCCACAGGTAAACCCACAGCTAAACCCACAGCTATAAACCCACAGGTAAACCCACAGCTAAACCCACAGGTAAACCCACAGATAAACCCACAAATAAACCCACAGCTAAACCCACAGGTAAACCCACAGCTAAACCCACAGCTAAACCCAAAGCTAAACCCACAGGTAAACCCACAGGTAAACCCACAGGTAAACCCACAGCTAAACCCAAAGGTAAACCCAAAGGTAAACCCACAGGTAAACCCACAGCTAAACCCAAAGGTAAACCCACAGCTAAACCCAAAGGTAAACCCAAAGGTAAACCCACAGCTAAACCCAAAGGTAAACCCACAGGTAAACCCACAGATAAACCCACAGCTAAACCCACAGCTAAACCCAAAGGTAAACCCACAGGTAAACCCACAGCTAAACCCACAGCTAAACCCACAGGTAAACCCACAGCTAAACCCACAGATAAACCCACAGCTAAACCCACAGCTAAACCCACAGCTAAACCCACAGATAAACCCACAGCTAAATCCACAGCTAAACCCACAGCTAAACCCACAGCTAAACCCAAAGGTAAACCCACAGCTAAACCCACAGCTAAACCCACAGCGAAACCCAAAGGTAAACCCACAGGTAAACCCACAGCTAAACCCACAGGTAAACCCACAGGTAAACCCACAGATAAACCCACAGCTAAACCCACAGGTAAACCCACAGGTAAACCCACAGATAAACCCACAGGTAAACCCACAGGTAAACCCACAGATAAACCCACAGGTAAACCCACAGGTAAACCCACAGCTAAACCCAAAGGTAAACCCACAGCTAAACCCACAGCTAAACCCACAGCTAAACCCACAGGTAAACCCACAGCTAAACCCACAGGTAAACCCACAGCTAAACCCAAAGGTAAACCCACAGGTAAACCCACAGCTAAACCCAAAGCTAAACCCACAGGTAAACCCACAGCTAAACCCAAAGGTAAACCCACAGGTAAACCCACAGATAAACCCACAGGTAAACCCACAGCTAAACCCAAAGGTAAACCCACAGGTAAACCCACAGGTAAACCCACAGATAAACCCACAGGTAAACCCACAGATAAACCCACAGGTAAACCCACAGCTAAACCCAAAGGTAAACACACAGGTAAACCCACAGGTAAACCCACAGCTAAACCCACAGGTAAACCCACAGCTAAACCCACAGCTAAACCCACAGGTAAACCCACAGCTAAACCCACAGGTAAACCCACAGGTGAAACTAGAACATTAGAGAAGCATTTCTGAATGAAAGAAAAGCTTCACAAAATTCTCTGTACATTTCAGTTGATTTTAGCGTTCTCACAGTAGAACCTACAGAACCGAGTACATGGAGACCTTCAATGCTTCAAACAGAACTTTATTATTTTAATTCTGGAGGATTTTGAAAAAGCAAACAGGACAAATGACACTTTATAAAGGTTTTAAATAAAATCACTTCTGAAATGAGACTGAAATGTCGTTCTTTCACAGCTCACTGCTTTACCTCCTCAGTCAGGTAGAACATCTCACTAGACAGGATCACCAAAGTAAAAAAAATCGAATAAAAAAAAATGAATATAATAAAAATAACGCAAACTATTTACAGAACAGAACGCAGCAAGTCCACCATCACTGACAGGATTAGTGGATGATGACACTGGCACTGACCCTCGCAGCCCCTGCGTCCTCCAACTCCGGCCTCGCCGTTCTGCGCAGGGATCTCGACCAGGACAGCCCCCATGCGGCTCAGGTTGGGCGCTGTCATCCTGCTGGGGGGCGCGGCTAGGGGGCAACAGACGGGAAGTTCCGTGGTTTAGTGATCCGACATTTAGAAGGAAAAGCGATGTACCTGTGGGGGGACAGAGAGAGAGAGAGAGAGAGAGAGAGAGAGAGACAGAGAGAGAGAGAGAGAGGTTTGCTTATTTTGGAGATCCTGCAGCCATGTGACCCTAATCATGTCCTAGATTTTAATATTGATTAATTTGTACAGAGATAAAATCTCTGGTCAGCAGAAGAGCCTTGGTCGCAGATCCAGATTTTGCTGACACCTCCAAAATGAAGGTGCTATATTTAGAAGTCAGCATTGGATCTACGGTCTGATAAAGTGTCTGAATGCGTCTAATTAAGTACTCGTTACTCTGATCAGAAGAGCAGCTGCTCTGTAAACCATCTGAGAGTCTGAAATGAAGATGAATGATCAAAGTAAAGTTGATCACATTGCAGATGCAGATGAAAAGGTTTAAGGGCTGCAGGAGAGATAAAAGATAATTCAGCCCCTTATTTAGCGCAGCGTGTGACTCCATTAACACACAACTGAAGCTCAGATCTCTCTGCCTACAGAAGCGCTCGCCCCAGATATTACTCCCATAACAAAACACACAAAGCATGCAACGTTAGGAAAGTCAGAACACATGCGGCCAGCAGAGCGCAGTCAGAGCAGCACAGACACAGCAGCAGAGCAGCACAGACACAGCAGCAGAGCAGCACAGACACAGCAGCAGTCAGAGCAGCACAGACACAGCAGCAGTCAGAGCAGCACAGACACAGCAGCAGAGCAGCACAGACACAGCAGCAGTCAGAGCAGCACAGACACAGCAGCAGTCAGAGCAGCACAGACACAGCAGCAGAGCAGCACAGACACAGCAGCAGTCAGAGCAGCACAGACACAGCAGCAGTCAGAGCACCACAGACAGAACAGCGAAGTCAGAGCAGAGCAGACACAGCAGCAGTCAGAGCACCACAGACAGAAAACAGACACAGCAGCAGTCAGAGCAGCACAGACAGAACAGACACAGCAGCACAGACAGAACAGACACAGCCGCAGTCAGAGCACCACAGACAGAACAGACACAGCAGCACAGACAGAACACAGACACAGCTGCAGTCAGAGCACAGACAGAACAGACACAGCAGCACAGACAGAACACAGACACAGCAGGACAGACAGAACACAG